TTTTATATCATAAATTATTCTTACTGAATTATTTTCCCATCGAGATGAACATGTTGGTCGAATTTTTTTTATACATACAATTTCATGCATTTTTTCAAATGTTGGATTATTTGATATAATATCTTGATAAGGAAGTTTATATTCATCAGCATCATTTTCTAATAATATGAATTAGATAAAAAAAAAATTAATTAATAATATATAAACCTTCTGATGTTGTTTGACATCGTTGTAATATTTCCCAAAAAATAAGTCCTAATGCATAAAGATCAGTAGCTTTATAGGATTCAAAACTTTGTTCATTGAGTGTTTTATCAAGAATTTCTGGTGACATATAACCTAAATAAACACAAATGTATACAAAAAAGAAAAAACAAAGCAAAATTCTTTTTCTTATTTCGTCTTCTTACGTATTGTACCAACACGATGATTTGGTTTAATATCAATAACAATATGTTCTTGATTATTATCAGATTTTTGACGAACTTCACTAACTGCAAGACCTAAGTCTGCAATACAACATGATAAATCTTTTTTAACTAAAATATTTTTTGTTTTTAAATCTCGATGTGCAAGTGCAGGTTTACCTTTAAAAATCAAAAATTTTATTTTGTAAAAAAGTTATTTAAGAACACAAAAAAACAAATTACGAACCATTTGTTGCATCAATTGATAAATGTAAATAAAAAAGACCATTAGCAATAGTAAACATCATATTAATCATAATTGGAATTGTTATTGTATGATTGTTAAGATAATCATAAACAGAACCATTTTCATGATATTCAGTACCAAGCCAAAGTTCAATACGATTTGAAAAATCCTTAAATAAAAATTCTTTATTTTGAATATATTTTCATTTCAAGACAATCGATTAATTCAATATTTCTCTAAGAAATTAGAAAGTTTATAAGGAAATATCAGTGGCGAAGCCCCACCTAGGAGCCTTCAAGCAGATCTTGGAGAAATTTTTGAAATATGTGTTTTGTGTATCAAGGGGATCAGCCCTCTCCCAACTCAAAATCCTGGTTCTGTCACTGGTAAATATGATTATAATAGGTTTTTAAAGTTTGAAACGTCAGTCTAAATCGAACAATATAGTACGTAAACAGTCGTGTTCATATCTTGTGAAACATGATCTAAAAAGAGTGTTGCAGTATCGAGGTAGAAATATGGATTTTCCATTCCACAGACATGACAAACATTTAAGCAACAAGTCATCATAGACGTGACAGACATTGTTGGCATACGATCGCAGACCATATATCAATAATGTCTGGCTATGATACAGCAGGCCTCAAAATTATCCAACAAGGTGTTGTTTGAATAGAGAATATTGTTGCCAATAAGAATTCGAGAAAATGATAACCGTCATGAACCTTTGCCAAAATATGATTTTCTGGAAAATCAAAAGCCTGGTTTTTCAACATTCAGAAACCACAACGGGAAACTTATTTCAATATTCTAGAATTATAGAACAGTCAATTCTCTACAAAATGAGAAGTGTTCGAGCTTTCTACGACATACCCTTCAAAAGTTATAAGCGTCACAAAAATCGGAAAAAAGTGAAATTTATATGAAAATCGACTAAAAAACGCATTTTTTCGATTTTTGTGATGCTTATGACTTTTGAAGGGAAGACCATAGAAAGCTCGGAGACATCTCATTTTGTAGAGAATTGGCTGCTCTATAATTCTAGACTGTTAAAACAAGTTTTCTGTTGTGACTTCTGGATGTTGAAAAATCAAGGTTTTGATTTTTCAGAAACTCTATTTTGGCAAAAATTCATGACGGTTATCATTTTCTCGAATTCTTCTTAGCAACAATATTCACTATTTGGATTCTTTCTAGCACTTAAGGCTACGAAAAAAAACATCCAAATTACACCTTGTTGAATAGTTTTGGGACTTACTGTATATGAACTATTTTCTTATCGTATTTCTGAAAGATTAAGCACATTCAGATTTGACATATATGAGATCAATGACAATAGCTGAAAATTTTGGAAGTATTTTTTTAAAAATTTTCTTTGATCGGAAGACTTTTCACATGAAAAATAACTTTAGACATCGACAATGTTTGAAACTTGACTTTTACTAGCCGAGTTTATATTTTTAATTATATACAGTAGCTATAATCTATCACTTAAGTACTCAAATGAATGATGTATGACCGATTCTGCCCGGAACATGATAGGAAGGTGAAAGCAGGAGTACAATGTTTGAATCTAATGGCCGGAATGTTCCGCTTTCAGCGGTAGCTGGCCATCGGACACGATCATCATAATGCTGCTTAGTTAAGATTATCTATATTTAGTGATGATTGTTGGTTGTTCCTTAATATTTCTAGCAATCAGCATATGATTTAATGAATTAGAATATGAACCAGTTCGATTACATATTTCGAGAAAGAACCGGCATTCTTAAAAAGATATCTCGTATTATAGAAATCATTCAAGCATGACATCTTTAAGAAAGATCCTAATCGAACGATCGCTTTTGATGAATAATATAGAATGCATTTTTTTAATATAAACTGAAAGAAAACGTCAATCTTCGTTTGGCTACTTATTAACTTGAAATGATTCGAAAGATTATTGGAAAAATATGGTACTCAGATGCGAAATTCAATCGGTCGATCACTATCTAAAAAGTCCACTCTGACTCATAGCACGATATTTCTCTTTATGCATTATATCAGCAATAACTCAAGTATCTATTGGTTTTGAACAAATTGCTCCGAAGAAGAATTCTCAATATTAGACACAATGAAAAATGTTAATCGAATATTAATACTAAAAAAAATACGTCATAATCCTTATGGTTACTTAATTATTCAATCTATCAATTGATAATGTCAAATTCTTTGTCGACTAGATAGAAAATCAATTAAAGACAAAAACAAAAGATTATCGAAGAGAAATAGTTGTAAATCATTATTTCTTCGAATTTCTTACTATTCTATCAGCAGCAATATATCGAAGAACATTTTCATGATTTAAACGAAATTCTCGATAAACATAAACTTCACGTCTCCATGAAGGTTCTTCACTTGAAAAACAAATTTTTATAGCAATTGTATCTTGATACCATTTACCACGATAAACAATACCATAAGCACCAATACCAATTTGTTTTTCTAATATTACTTGCTTTGCAAAACTAGTTATTTCTAATACAAGAGTATCTAAACAAAACAACGGTTTTGTTTTAATATATTTTTCCTTGTTTTTTTCATTCTCAAATAACTAACTGCATTCCTCTGAACTTCTTGATATATCGTCCGGACACTGATCACTTTTAACACTTGTTGTTGAATGTTTTGATCGAGTCAAGAATGGTATACATAAACCTGATTTTTTATTTGATTCAATAGTTCTATCACAATTCGATGAATTTCTTCTATAAGAAAATAAAAATTTTATTGATATAATATTTTCAATATACATACTTTTTTCGTTTATTATAATATAAACTAAATATAAATAAAGAACAAAATAAAAGAATAGATGAAATAATAATAATTATTAATATTAATCGAATTAAAAATTTATTAGATTTATATTTATCTTAAAAAGCAAAAGAATTAAAAAAACAATTATATATAAATATATAAATAATTTTTACATAATTTCAAAATTACTTAGTGGTAATAATAATTTCTTTCGTATATCACTTGAATATGCATCACGATCATTACAATAATTTTTATCTGAACAACAAATAATATATCGATTACTTTGATTACCATCACAGAAAATTTGTGTAAATAAAAATTCATTATAAACACATCTAAAGAAATAAAATATTTCGTAAAATAAATAATGATATATATTTTTATACCCAGCAGTAACATGAATCATATCATCATTAGATTCTTTTGTCCAACTTTCATAACAAGCATGATCAACATGTGTTAAACGACAAGTTCGTGTATTTGAATCACAGTTTTCATCTTCAGTACAGAGACATGTTATATTTGTTCTTTGTCGTGTACCATCAATGAGAAAAGATACGCTATCGTCATGGTTTTCTTGACTAATGACAGTTAAGCAAATAAGAATAGTAAGAATAAATATATTTTTAATCATCTAAATATGAAAACATTATTCCATGAAGGATTTTTTTTGTTATTATTAAAATAATTTGTATCATTCATAAGAAAATTATTTATATTCGATAAGTAGTATTGTTTTATTAAATATAAGAAATCGTAGAAAAAAAAACGCCAAATTTCCTTATGATAATAGAGTGCTGACAACATTTACAGGAAAGAAAAATAAAGTATGAGTGTTTATTATTAAAAAAGGTTTCTTTTTTTTTTCAAAGATATTCTGTTGTAATATTTTAGTGAAAGATGGCGCAATGTATTGATGTCAATAAATGACTATCGAAAATCTATTCGTGAAAAACTAAACGTTACGAGAATGTGCCGAAACATCACGTTTCATTCAAATGCAATGAGCTAGTAACATAATAACAATGTTTATTGAAGCAAATATTCATTTATTTTTTCTAAAAGCACATTTTTCATACTAAAAAACTAATCGATTTTTTTTCGATTTAAAAAAAATTTTCGTTTCATGCGGGTTGTAAAACTGAGTTTGTATGAGACTAATTATAAAGTTAGTCTCACACACACTCTTAGAGACTATGAAAAGAAATCGTCAAGTTCTATCTAAAACAAACAGAAATTTGTATTAAAGTGTACGTTGTATTTCGATCAGATTTATTTTCAACTAACTCAAATTAAAATTCTATTTGAATTATTCAGAATGGTAGAGCAAACAATTCTCTATAAAATGAAACATTTTTCATTTTTTTGACTGAGATGGAACACACACAAAAATTATGTTTCTATACGAAATAATAAAAAATACAACGACTTTTGTACTTTTCGTACAATTGTTATATATCTCGATTAAAAAACATTTAATATCTTATCCTAAGATATTAATGGGCGCTTTGAAATATTTTTCATTTTCTTATATTTTTAATACAATGTCATTTATACTTAATAAAAAATTTTCTGAAACTTATTGCCATAATAATTCTCAAATAAATAATCGAACTATACATTCATCTTTATCATCAATATCATTTATTGATTCATTTGAACATCGTATTATAAATAATATATTTGAACAAATGCCAAAAATAATTAAAACATTAGCTAATCTTTGTCAAATACTTGATGATTATCCATTATTACAAATAAATATTGAACAAATTCAACAAGGAACATTAAATTCTATTCTATGGAATGAAAATCAATTATATCCAATTGCAATTGATCAAAATAATTATTTAATTAAATTTCGACAATTAATACGTAAATATATTTATGAATTTCTTGAATTTGCACAACAAATTCTTATATTTTCATATAAAAATAATGAAATAAATTCTCTTATACAAAAATCTATGAAATATTTAATTCAATTAAATAATTATCGAATAAAACGACAATTAGCATATAAAAATTTTTTACAAAATTATACATTTGAAGATTCAATATTAATATTATATAATATTGACAAACAACAATATCATGAACTTCGTTTAATTACTTTAAATTTACGACAATTTTTTTTAAAATTAATTAAATTTATTAGTCCAAAATTTTCAATTTTTGAATAAAGAAAAAAAAGAAAATACCTACTCACCATTGATAGAGTTTATTTGTTCGATAATATTATAGCAGTAGTTTATTCTTTTTCTTGTATGAATAATATTCTCGGTAGTAAATCGATTTTGAAAATACGTACATAGACATTGACCTTGTATAACTTGTTATTTTTTTGTTGATTTTATCGATTTCTTGTTTGATCATCGTCAATTATGTTGATTTTTTTTCTCTTTCGGTTACATAAAATTAAATCAGTCGCATACATTAAAAGGTATACATTTACTTTATTTGCTTGTATATTTCTCGTATAATAATGTTTTTATACAGTAGATTTTTGGATATTTTTTGTTTCCTTGAATGATTATTTATATTGACTTGTTAGAAAAAAAATGGATTTATCCTATTTTGATGAGATATTACATGACGAATGAATAATTCTTTTGTTTTGTATTGACTTTTTTTTTCTTTATTTATATGGGATATTACGTGAAGAAAATTAAAAACTATGACGAGTTAAATAGAAAAAGTAGAATGGACAAATCGATATAATGAAATATCTTTCCCATACAGTAAATCTTACAGCTGACTGTTTATATGTATGACATGATCATGCGGTAACGAACAAGAACAGAAAAAGTTATCATTTATATCAATATACATAGAACTTAGATGTATTAATTCAAATCATAAGATATCACCTGTAAGTTTTAATTTTTTCTAAAAAAATTTTTTTTTTTATAGATTATGGCATCAAATAGAAATAGTTTTCAATCTAGAACAAATAATGAAAAATCTGATTATAAAGCAGGAAAATGGCAAGCATCAATTTCAACACCATTATGTGCATTTTGTAATAAAGCTGTTTATCCAGCTGAAGAAATAATGGGTGGCGGACAAAAATTTCATAAATTTTGTTTTAAATGCAGTAAAATATTTTCTCATTATTTAAAAAATTTATCTAACATTTTTCTTTAGCTATATGCCATGTATTACTCAATTCACTTAGTTTAAATGAACGTAATCAAAAACTTTATTGTACAGGTTGTTACAGTCGTGAATTTGGTCCACGAATGGGTAAGAATTTATTTAATACGAACAAAAAAAAATAAAAATCACCGTTATTTTTATTAAGTTTCTCGTCATTTTGCAACATCATTTCCATCGGATTTGGATTCACCACCTAGTAGTCCGAGATTAAATCAAGAAGAAGAAACTGATTTTAATAATGAATATTATCAACGACAAACAGTAATATATTCATCACCATCTTATGAGTCATATGATGATGATGATGATTTACATCATAGAAATCTGAAAAGTACTATGATGAATGGCATAACAACATCGAACACTAATCGATCAACATCAAGAAATGTTATAAATGATAATGCATTTAAAATGATGTCAATATCAGGAAATATTTGTCCACGTTGTTCAAAAACGGTTTATCAAGCTGAAGAAATTAAAGCTATTGGCAAAGTAAAACAAAATAAAATTTTTAATTGTATGTTTTTTTTTTTTTCTTTGATTTTGTAGTCATTCCATAAACAATGTTATACTTGTGCACATTGTAAAGGAACTATAAGTGGTGCTCATTATTCTGAACATGATGGAGAAATTTATGATAAGAGTAAAAATAATAAAATTTGTTGAATTATATTTGTTTGTTGGTTCCTTTTTTTTGTTTTTTTTTAGAATGTTATCAACGTTTATTTAGTCCAAAAGTAGTATTATCAATATGAAATTGAAATTGATTATGAATTCTTATTAGACCGGTACTATGATGACTGTACTAAAACAAACTATTTCATTTTTTGATTATTTCTCACTTTTTTTTGTTTTTTTCTATTCGGTCTGATTTTTTCATTATCAATAGAGATCGATGCATTTGAATAGCCAATGAAGTTTTCTATCAAATATCGTTCCATATCGAAGTGTCATAGATAGACAATGAGAGAAAGGTTTTTTTCGAAAAATCCAAAGGTAAGTTTTCAGATTCCAAATGACTGTAAAAATCTGTGTTTTAAGAGTACTATCTTAAAGAATTTCCTTTGACCTTTCCTGAAAAAAATTATAAGCATAAAGAAAAAGTGGAATTTATCATAATGTAACTAAACGACGTATTTTCATGATGCTTATAACTTTTTAAGGTAAGGTGGTAGAAAACTTTCCTATCCCTCAAGGTTTTTGCGCTCTTTAAGATCGTACACAGGTTTCTAGGATCTAAAAATTACCTTTTGGATTTTTCAAAAACCTTTTTCTCATTGTCCGTTCATAAAATTTCGATACGAAATGTCTGGACTATTCAAATGACTATTTGGCTTTGAATTAAATACTTGATATCATAGAATATGATAAAAAGAAACCAATCTTTAAAAGAAAATTTCAAAACGTTAGATAAGAACGGTCAATGAAGCATCAATATGGTTCAATTAGTACTAAAATTTTTTCTTGAAAGTCAAAAAATGAATCATTAGTGTATTCGAAAGTAAACACTTTGCTCTATCTAATAAACTAGAAATTAGATTAATGGAAATGAATTTAACAAGAAAACTAAGACCTGCACAAAAAATATCATACTTGAACGTTCAATGAAAAATATGAGATAAACCAAGAATCCGTTGGCATTATACTAGCTTTCGAATAGATTAACAATTACAAAAGCAATCATATATGCCACCATAAACAACTATAATGCTGCCTAGTTTTTGAATAGAATACTATAGTACTCATCATATGAATTATTTTAGCGGATATAGAACAAATTTATTGTATGTTGAAAGTTAAATCTAAATTCTGAGAGTATAATATAGTTATAACTTTTGAGCTCTAATGTATATTTTGCGTAATTTCAGACACTAGAAAAATGTTCATGCTTTAAAAGTGTGGCTATATTACGAAAACTGACATACAGCAACGTTTTGAAGAAAAAATCATTATTGTTCTGTCTTGAAGTAAAAGCAATAAAAATAATTTTTATAATTCTCTTAATCATCTTTCATATGGGCAAAATCATTTGTTAGCGACGTGACTTCGGAAAATTAAAATATGTGTATCTCGAGATAATGAGCTCTCTTAGATCTGATTTTTTATATGTTGTATGGACATTAAGTTACTCTAGATACCCTAAAAAAATTAGCGCTATGGAGCTTTGTTTACAGGAGTTACTGGTAAAAAACTACCGTTAGCGACGTGACACAAAAAAGGACATCGATTTCCACTTCGTGTATTTTAGTTTTTAATAACTCCCAATTCATGCACAATTTTAGAAAACTAAATAGGGTATTTCGTAGACGACTTCTAAGGCTATAAAGTCTATATCCAAAATTTTTCTAAGTATGCCTAGATTTTTCAAAAAAACCGATTTATTTGTTGTTAGCGACGTGACACAGTACGACTACATAATCGAGATGATATTCTTGTAACCAACTGAAAAGTTCAAAATCGACTTCGAACGTTACAAATCATTACTCAAAATCCCTAAATGAGGATAAGAGAAAAGTTTTCGCTTCTTCACTTTTCAGGGTCTCTGAAAAACCGATTTTTCGGAAGAAACTTTTCGAAGTCCAATCTTGCTGAAAATTTTACCATAGGCGCAGCTTGTGCCCTAGATCCTATCCTGAAGTTTTCAGATTTTTTTCTCATATGGTTAGCGAGATATTCGCTAATTACTTTTTAATTAATTAATTAATTAATAACCATGTGAAAGACCAAACATTTTCACATAAGCCTATGCCAAAAGAATTTATTCAAAAAATTCACTCTTATAGAGAATCAGTCTCAAATGAAAGATGCAAATGTCCTATTCTGCCTGATTTTGCCGATATGCTTTAGAAATCTACAAATATATTCTGTCTTATTAATATACAGAAAATACTTAATATTTAGAATATATTGGAAAGTTATTCCTTTGTTCAACATTATTTTGTGTCGTAGAGTTCTGTTGTCAGTAATTTGTTCTATTATTTCAATTTCATTTTCAATAAACTCCTGTGGATTATTGAAGTGTACAACATACACACACACACACACTTTGAAATCTAAAAGCTTTTTTTCTTTTGAGCTGATATTGTTTTATCTATGATGGAATTACAAATTTTATTTTTTCAATATTTGACACTATCGAATTGTTGAAAACAAATTAATCTCTTTGTTTTTGTTCTCTCTTTTCTCCTTTTTCTCCGAATAGTGACAGTATTGTTCGCAATAGTAACTTGAATATTGTCAACGACAGAATGAATATTACGATATGGAAGAGAACAATATACAATATCATATTTTGATTGATTGAATATTATAAAAAATAAAAATAACTATCAATTGTGTTTTATATTTCTCTTCCTTTTCTCTACATGATAATTGATATGCGATCGTTCTCTCTCTCTTGTAGTTCAATCAAATTCATAATAATGATATGACTCACAAACTAGTAATAAGAACGAAGTAAAATAAATATAGAGTATCATTCTTCTTTTCCTCATTCAATCTATAATTCATCCCTAAATCTACAAAACCAGATCGATGAGCTGCCTAGAAATGATAGAACGACAGTATAATTATCAAATGAATTAATGTTGAAGAAAATTGATTCAATAATTTAAATCTCGTAACTTTTCAAAGACAATTTTGTTTGACTCAAAATCAATGCCGATATTGTTATTTTAGGACATACAATCAATAGACGATCCTTTTTTTTTTGTTTTCGAAAGAGAAAATGGTATATAATACTGTCAGTGTTAATGACATTTTCTTTTTTATTTTTGCCTATCAACGATCACACATATTGTGAACAAAACAAGTAAGTAGTGCAACTAGACCTGAATATGTTTCGTTTCGAACGAACGTTTTCAATAATCAAATTGTATTGTTTGAGTAGTGAAAGATCTCATCAATAGAAATTGGTTGTCAACAATTGTCTGAAGTGTAATGTCGTCATTGAAAATGAGCAGAGACAAGACTTATCAACCATTAACAGTTTCTTCTTCATGTAACACATTCACCGAAGAATCATCTATCATGACAATACATCGTGTCACTGCGCTCAATACAAACATATCTGTCAATTGTGAAATTGAGACATGTCTTGATCAATTGTTCATTCCTTCTCCGTCACATTTAAAATCAACACTAACTATAGAATTCAGTATTGTTTTATCTCTTCTCGAGCTTAATCAAAACTCCAAATACATAAATCTATACAAATTTTTTCTCGAAAACTAAATTGTAAATGAATTTTTGTAGACGATCAACGATCTGTACCGATGAATTACAAGCTCAAAAGTATGTGAAAAACTTGAAAATCGATCAAGCTATCATTGCATATCGAAAAGAAAGATGACTATAATCATGCATTAGAATGTCATACAGAAACATTTAATATTCAACAAAAAGTATGTTAATCATATAGAAAATCCTATTATTTCACTCTATATATGACTACTTTTTATGTATTTACAGACTGATGAAGATGTACGTGAGACTCTGACTCTTCTCGGAAATGTTTGGTATTATTGTCAGGAATTTGATTCAATTTTAGCTTGTCACACTCATGTCCTTAAATTACGTCAGAATGTGAATGTAGGAACAGGATTGATTACACATGCAGATACTCCCTCAAAAATGCAAAACTTAAAAAGAATAGTTCAGTCCGATTTCTTATTGTTCTGGTTCTATTATTTCTTTCATTTATTCAAATTGTCAATTATCGACAATAGTAATATAATAAAAAAGAAAGTTGAAAAAAGAAAAGAGATAAATTAATCTTTTAAAGATTAATTTAAAAACATTGAAGTTACATATATTTTGTCACGACATATAGATTTTTAGTTCATCAGATCTATTGAAGCTTTGTAATCGTAAGTACATATGTTCGAATTTTCTATTCTGCAAAAACTACTCATTGGTATCCATTGAGAAAGGTCCTTCGATGAACATTGAAGTGCTGCTTTTCGATAGATTGAGAGGTAGGCGATGGATCAACAATTTTCAATTTTATCGACCCATCGAATAGCTTGGATCGATGTATCGAAACATCCATCGAGTTGCAGCTTGGGTAAAAATTAAATAGAAAAAAATAAATATAAATCATTATTTTTGATTTATTTAATATACACTTGTAGTTTTTGTTAATTAGTTTTAAATATAAAGTCTTTATTCAGTTTATTAATAGAACCAAATTGATAATGAATGTGTGTAATAATTTTCAGCTATATTTGACAGATGTGTTTTATTTATTTTATGTGACAGAAAACAAAAAATTTTTTCATTCTTCACATAGATAAATATTATACTACGATATTTATTTTCTCCTATTTCAACCACGTGAGTTTCATATGTCATTTGTAATTCTTTCTTTATGATTGCGAAATTTCTTTCATCATATCGTTATTTGATTGTACAAGACAAATGTAAAATATTGACTCAATCTTCATTCTTTCGATATTCAAATATAATTGTTTTTGATTTGTTTGGTTATCAGTGATAATAAAAATAAAATGGAAAATAAAGAATATGATTCTATTACTCCGATAAATAAAATCAAACACCATAATGAGAGTAAGTAAACTTATCTAAAAAAAAAACAATTATGCTTGAACAGTATTCTGTATTTAGATTTTGCATCTAATTCAAAAAAATTCAAAACAGATCCTTCAACAATCAAGAATAATGATTATACAAAGTTATTAAAACTGTAAGTTTTAGGTTTTTTTTGTATAAAATATCCATGCGATAAAAACCGGCGGTTAACCGCGATTTTACCAGTCCGGTTACCGGCTCTCGTCACTACCATTTACCGCTAGAATGAACCGGTTCGCCGATGATCATTGACATTTAGTTGCTCTAAATCATTGATTTTGCTATTTTATATGTTTTTTTCTCGCACCTTCACATGTCATAAAAATGCTTGGAAAAACCGCCGGTTTACCGTGATTTTATCGATCCAGTTACTGCAATTTACTGCGGTTTACCGCTAAAAGCTGTCTGATATTTACGATATGGGTGCTCATTATAAATGAAAATAGTTGCAATCTGATTCTATTTTCTAGTTAAAATATTAGATTGAAACCTTACAGTAGAAGTTTAAGACTGCTCTATATTATCAGCAGAGACTAGTCACGGTCGACTGACGTTATCTAAAGGAATAAAGCTTGATTTAATCTTATGTATCGATTCAGGACAGTCTGCGAAATGCCGCGGTCATAGAAAAGAATAGATTTCCTCGATATTGTTCTCAAATTATGGAAGAAAAACCGAGTGGGCCAAACGTAACAATACAACAAAAAAAATTGAATATCTTCCTTACGGTTCAAGCAAACGAGTTGATTTTTTTATCAATGATAGAAGTATGTTCAAGTCTTATATCCATAAAGACACGCCTAGAGAGCTACTTTACTCTAGGCATGTCTTTATAGATATAAAACTTGAACATACTTCTATCATTAATAAAAAAAGTCAGCCCATTTGCTCGAGCCGTAAGGGAAATATTCAATTTTTTTTTGTTGTATCGTTAATTTTGGCCCACCTGGTACTTAGAAAAATTCTGCCATCATTGTTGTTATTAATCGAGATTCATTGAGTTTCGCCTAGTCTAATTTATGAATTTCGATCTGAATCTCAGTCTTTTAATCAGATTTTTTGTGAGAACACGAAAACTGTCTCGAGTCAAGGAGGGTATGTGTAGTATCAGGCACAAAAACTTCAAATTTCGATGGTTAAAATCAGTCTCAGAAATTGTGAAGCACCGCACTGAATAAAAATACTAGCGAACATTATTCTTGAAGACGATTGTAATCTTATAAGAATCGAGTTACAATTAACTCACACTTTTAGAGTAGCATCCGTCAGATCGATCTCGGACTTAATCAACAGAAAATTTTTCGATAAGTTTTTTTGCTTCTCTGAAACAAACAATGTAAATTTATTTTATTTATCTATTTAGTGAAGATTTACCAGTTGAATTATTTATTTATCATCTATTTCCTTATTTTCCACAACATGTAATAATTAAAATATTTTTCAATTTAAATTATTCTTTTCAACAAATTGTTATTTCATATTTTACTATAAATACAAATATTGATTTAACACAAATATCAGAAGATTGGTTTTTTAAATATCTTTCAAATTTATCATCAAAAATAGAAATTATTAATATAGATGATAAACAAATCGACAAAATATTTCAGTCATTAAATTCTTATCCAAAACTTAACTCATTATTTATAAAAAATATTCAATTTTTACCTTTAACTAAATGTTTAAAATATTTAAAATTTTTCAAACAACTAAAATATTTAAATTTAAATGAAAATGAAAATGAATATAAATTATTTTCCGATCCTTATCTTATACGTATAATTATTGCATCATTATTTGAAGAAGATTCATTATTACAAAGTTTTACTTTAATACGAAATTTTCCTTTATATCTAGGTTTTAATAATTTCGAAATAATTAATTATTGTTTACAAAATTTAACTATTTATTTAATCCATCTAGATGATTTAATTTATTTATTAAATACACTTCGATCATTAAAATATTTCTATGGTAAAATTGTCAATGAAGAAAATCATATAAATGAAAATAAATCAAATTTTTTATTATCAAAATTAATTAAATGTTATTTTGAATGTAAACATATTAAACGTAATGATTTAAATTATTTTTTAAATCAACTTAAACAATCAACATTATTAGAAATATTTAAACTTAAAATAAATTCTATGAATGAAAAATATACAGAAAATGAAATTCTTGAAAAATTACCAAATTTAAAAAAATTTTCTTTTTATATACGATTTCATCAATTACATTTAACATCTCAAATAATACAAAATGAATTTAATAATAATCGACTTATATGGTATAAAGATGATTATTATTATTATTCATTTCTATCATTACCTTATAGATTTAAACAATTATCAAATATATCAAATAATATTGTTTATCAAAATTTAAATAATACAAAAGATATTCTATTATTTCCAACAGTTGAACATATTGAAATATCTTATAGTAAAGATCAATTAAATCCAAAATTAATTCAATTTATAAATGATCAATTTCCAAATTTATTTACAATGGAAATTGAATTAGGTAAATTGAATAAAAATTTGATGAATGATAAAAAATTAATACTAAATAAAATACGAAAATTAATATTAAATTATAAAGATGAAAGAAATTATTATCATATCAAACGTTTACTATTATTAACACCATATATTGAAATATTAATTGTTGATTATAATAATATTATTTCTTACAAACATAAATTAAGATACGATGATGAATTATTATCAATTCGTAAACAAATAAAACTTTTAATAATTACTAATTGTTCTCATGAATTTAATTCAGATGAAGAAGACTATATTAAGAATAAAATCTTTACAAATTTAACAAAACTTCTTGTTAGCTAAAATAGTATTTTTTCTTTTCTTGATAAAAATAAAATAATATCAAATGATTCATATAAAAAGGAAGAGTCATAGGTTCATTAGTTTTTATTTTATGAAATGGAAACCAAATGACACTTCACATGTCATAAAAACCGATCAATTTTATCGATGAACTACACAAAACAAATAGCTGCAGAACGAAAAATAAATAAATATATGTGCGTGTCTGTCACATCACTTATTTCGGTTGCTTGCTTGCTTAGAGAAAAGAATCAATATAACAATAACGAGGTTCAATTGAGAATTAATAGTTTTTTGTATTTATGTTTTAAGATTTAATGTATTTTTTTTTGCGTTAGCTTATATTTTTATTTTGGGTTAGAATAAAAATTAGATTAGTTGGAAAATAACTATTAAATTCCAGTACAAATATTAACGAAACAAAGAATCAAACGGTACCGGTAACCGGACCGATAAAATCGGAGGTTTTTCTCTGGTTTTCATTACATGAGTGTCTTTTAACGTTTGATGTAGATAAATAAATATAATGTGTTTCTTGTTGAAGAAATATTACTATAGTCTGACCAAAAAGTCCGTGCGTGTGACTGTTTGTTGAATAACTCAAGAACACAAACAGCTAGAGATCTGCGGTTTTCATCAGTCGAAAGAGGTGAAATGGGTACGTCTTTTTCTTCGATATTGTAAACGACAAATTCATTTTAAAATCAACTCTTTTTACAAAATATCGAAAAAATGTACGGAAATCTTCTGTCGTTCAGATGAAATTTTTAACAAAAAGTGAGAAACTTCAGGAAGCAAATCAGCGGCGGATCTAGGATTTTTTTGATAAGGGGCGATTCGATAGACATGGGGCGATTTTTATCAAAAAGCAAGTTTTGAAGTTTATTAGTAGTGGAATGCACTCTATTTTTAAGACTTTTCTGCTGGGAAAATCCAAAAATTTTTGTTTCGAATGGGGGCGATCGCCCCAAGCGCCCCCCCCCCCCCTAAATCCGCCACTGAAGCAAATAGAGAATTACATTTGCTTAATATTAGAAGGTGTGAAGATAATCATTTAAATTATATCTTAAGCTATAGATCTAAAGTCCCTCTATTTAGATCACATATTAAAACCATAATCTCATCAAGATAATAGACCATTATCACGCATATTTTCCAATGTTGTGAGAAAATGATTGATTTTAAAATAAATTTGTCTTATACAATATCAGAGAAAAAGATGTCTCCATATCACTTCCTTCAGCTGGTGAAAATCGCAGGTCTCTAACTAGTTCTGTTCTTAAGTTATTCAACAAACAGTCACACATACGGACTTTTTGGACAGACTATAGGTTTCAGAACTTTTTGACTCCCTATGTAAATATAAATAATATATTTACCTTGATTTTTTTCCTGATAAATATATTATTGATATTTTATAAAAAAAATTTAAAATAAAGAAATAAAAATTTTTAATATTTAAAAAAGTTAAAATTGCAAAAACAAAATATATCGCTCTGTAATAAATAAATTTATAAAACTA